GGTTTGTTAGTGACACCACAGGTCACCATTTTCCCCTCCATTGCAGCTGGTAGATTAGCATCAAGCTTTGGTGAGAGGTAAGATAAGAAGCTTAATAAGGTTAGGCTATTACAAGCGAGAGCATTATCTAGACTAATTCTGCTATCATATGTACAGAGATGTACAGATTCACTGATGATCTTCTTGGCTACTCTCGCTATGGCTGTTTCAGTATCGTCCTCGTCATTTACTACTAACTTCACGTGTTTCGAAGCTTGCTTCTTGAAGAGTAAGATATTGGCAACTTCACCACCTGAATTAACAGTCTGCGTGATAAGAGTTGACCTCTATATGAAACATACATTCCTCAATCTCAAATGCATTCCAGATACGTGACTGCTCACTTAGTATACAGTTCACCACTTGATAGAATGGACTTTCTTCTGATACAGTGTCACTTGAAGAGGACCTGATATTACTTCTGAGTGGAGACAAGCAGTACTTATGGAACTGAGCATTGGCTGCATGGAGATAACTGACAGCTACTTGGACTCTCAGTCTGACTTTATCTGCCAAGTCATCATTATGCTCCCCACATGTTTCCACACTAGCTAATAACCTCCTCCAATGTTTTATAGAGCTCTTATGATCAGCAGTGCGACATTTGATAACACGAAACCATCGACTTGGGTGCCGAGGATCAAATTCTAGGCATTTCTCCCCACGGAAGACACATTCTTCCTTGAAGTTGAATGCAACTTCTTCAGAGCGACGCCTTCTTTTCAGCGTTGGCTCAACACTGGTGTCATCTCGTTTGGAAAGGTAGCGTTTGATGTGGTGCTTAGAGGTGTATGACGAGACAGTTTTTGTGGCATCTACAGAATATCTGCTATCTGTCCTTAAACGTTCTACACCTACATCACAAAATCCACCACCACTGTTACAACTGCTTATGTAATCTTTCACCCATTCTCTTTTAGAAATTACTTAAAAAAATAGATGACACATGCAGTTAATTGACAAATCACCATGCATTTGGATCAAACGAATTGCTACTTGCATTAAATTCTTCCACCACACACCAAATTTGCAATTCCCACCCAGTAACTGAAAACAAAAATAACTATCAATGATGGCTTTTATGCTCACCTTCTAAGGCTGTGGAACAAGCATTATCATTATAATTAATTAACCACGTATAACATGTTTATCTGAGCGATAAAACTGATCTACCAGTGAAAGAATATTTTCGAAATATATTTTCACATAAAAAAAATTGCATGAAGCTGATATCATATTAAATTTCCATGTATTTCAGCAGATTCCTAGACTACACATACAACATGGATTTTGCCACCAAAATGAAGTCTCTATCTCGATTAGAAGTTGAGATATGGCCTAAAATATTTGCAAGTTGGCAGTGGCGGCAAATTTTAATTTGATTAATATTTTTTTTTCTCCCAGGATGCCAGTTTAGCACCAGGCTGATTTATGATTAGTAGGATCTAATCTACCAGAACCAACAATAAAACATTGTATATGTCTCAAAATAGGTTTCCGTGGTCTACCACCGGACTAATGAGATATGATAAGAACTTGAGAATTGGAAGTACAGCTAAAAGGCGAATTTTAGTTCCCTAAAATTTATCATTAGTGAGTAAAGAACGGATTTTAGATTTGACTGACAAGATTTTAGCTAAAATTAATCACCTTAAGCCCAGAAAGATTGAAGTAAATAATTGTCATAAAGGAACGTTGGGAGAGCCCTATGTTAACTGTGGCCCTTGATAATTATGAAACAGGCTACTGGTAGCATGAAATAAGCTTGTTACTATGTATTTGTCTTCTATAAGTGCCTAATTACAGTACAATGAGATATAATTATCGAACAAATGTCATTATGTACCAAATTCTGTGGGAATAAACGGCTATTTGTTTGATGACATGTCTTACTAATAATTAAAATTTATGTTTGTTACTAATCGTAGAGGCGATGCTATGTTACCTTTTGTTCAATGGTGGAATGAGGGAACTGGCCTTCTGTCCAATCAGGGAGTACATTGAGGTCAGGAATGTTTCCCTGGACAAATAAAAATCACATCGCCCTGTTGAAAGCAAAATACGTTTTCATTATATCATGCTTCTCTTTCTTCAGTTATTCATAAATGAGAATGACAATGAATATCAATGTCGTTATGGGTACAAATGAAACTACTACAACTACTATAAATGCAATTACTACTAATAATAGTAATAAAGAAATTATTATTATTATTTTTATTATTATTATTATTATTATTATTATTATTATTATTATTATTATTATTATTATTATTATTATTATTATTATTATTATTATTACTGTATTATTATTGTTATTATTAGCCCTCAGCTGCCGGAGTCGGAACACTATTGTTATGATTCATTTGGTCACTGTGTCCCAATATCTTCTAATCTGTTATATTTTGTGTGTGTTTCATTCCTCTGACTTAAAGACAAATTACTATAGGAAGTTTTATTTTTTCTCAATTCCACATTTTGTCTATATGTGGATTTCGAGATGAAATCGTCAGAGACTAATTTTTCTAATTCATTATTCTTCTAGGCTGAGGGATTACTTAAAGTTTTTGCTCATAAATTTTAATATTCTTCATTACTGTAACTTTCTAAAGTACAGTAGTTGAAGAAAGAGACATTGTACATATGGTTCTAATTTCCGTTTTTGAAGCATTGGATGCAAAAGTAACAATAATCACTGAAAAAAGAATGTAATTTTGTGAATGATAATATTAAAAGGAACAACATTAAGTAACTTTATCTGTAAAGCAGTTTTCTGCGTCTAGGTCAGCCTTGATTCTTAGAACTGGATCTTAGTTCAAGGAGGACCATTGAAAAAGCATTTTGTTAAGGAGCCAAAAATTTTTACATTATCATAAAAGTCATATTATAAAAGTAACAGTTAGTGCAAAGTCGATGTCATATACTGTTGGATGCTTTGGAAACGTTAGCGGTTACTGCTTAAATTTCGCTATTAGCAGACTATTAATTGATGAACTGAATGTATGTGATTGAAGTTCATAGAAAGAAAGCCAGCCAGCCAAGGAATTAATATCATTAATAGGTGATTGAAAATGTGATTATTGATTTATTTTTCATTAAATAATATGTAACCTTATGAGGAGTTGAAGAAGCTACTACAAGAGTTGCAAAAACAAATCAAAAAATTTAAGAAGTAAAGTTTACGTACTATTTATAAATTTATAGTTAAATTATAAAATTATATATAATTCAATAATCCTATTTAGTAGAGTTAGCTGGTCAGGAAACAATCAGGGTTTCACGAAAAGGAATCGGCTAAACGAAAATTATAGAACCGATATTAAGAATGACGCTTCTACTATTATTTTTACTATTATTACTTCTATTGCCACCACTACTGCTACTACCACTGCTGCTATTATAACAAAAATATTACTAATAATAATAATAATAAAGATTAAATCATCATTACTATGACCTGGTATTATCAAAATTACTGTTATTATCAACGTAAACTATAACCTCTCTGTGAGAAGTAGTGATTCATGACTATTTTATGGGTAATGTCTTCGGCAATAACCACGTGGTCGCCTCGCCTAACAAGAGTATCAATGCTGCTGAGGAACTGTGAGGGAACTCTGTACTTGGTCCGCCCTTCCTTCTCTGACTCAGCGATCTCAGAGAACGTTAATGATTTGGCTGACTGAGGAAGTAGCAAAGAGGACAGTGTGAGAAAGTAAACAAAATGTGTAATTTATTAAAAAATGATTAGACAAGGTTAGAGGATAATAATTATAGTTGTTTTATAATGCAGTTATTAGTACTTAGAAGAAAAAATGTACTGAAGTAATCCTGGAGAGAAGTTGGCTCCTCTGCTCTGAATAAAAGGAAACATTTGATAAATAATTTGAAACATCACGCTTAAAATTCTTCAGACAATTTTCCTCCCAAACGCTTCTTGAATTAAATATTGACTCAATTTCATTTGTTTTTCTGATATTTAAAAACAAAAAATATGCCAGTTACATACTTTAAAATATTTTACATATTTTGTGTTGGCTTCCCATATCATGGTTACAGACGGGTCATCCAGCACGTCCCGGAGGCTCTGGTAAGGTTGAGGAATGTGTCTCACGACCAAGAGGGCCATGAGGTTGCCGGCGTAGCTCCGTGTTAACACATAGCCAATACTATCCGGTGCCACCACCAGACTGTTGCTACTGAGATATCTACAGAAGGAAACTCTATTAGGAAAAAAGAGTGTCTTAGTTTTGGTTACTTTCCAGCTTGTGTATGTCTTTATTTTGTGAGGCTTTGTGCCGTAACTTGGTGAAGAATGTGGGAAAGGTTATTATTTGCTTTGCAAAATGTAATTATATATTTGATCATCTAAGAATATTAGTTTGTGTATTTAGTCAGCATAGAAGGGAACGTATGAGTAGCTTACGAAGCCTATAGCAATTACTACCAGTAGGATACTAATGAAAGCAGGATTTGGGTGCAAAGGACAATATAAAACATTGACAACTGGAGAAAGAAGAGCAACGGCAAGACAAAGATGTGGCGAAAGATGAAAGTAACCAATTGTAATGAAAAATACCAAATTATTATTACTTCAATATTTTACACTATATGTAGGAAAGAATAAGTAACTTTAGCAGAAAAAAGTTGAACCTGGACTCTGAAAACAACACAGTTTACCTTGCTGAAACAATACGCGAATGAAGACGAAAATATCCGTAGTATTGTTATTCAGACCAGTTGTCTTAACAAAGAGCCAGGACGTTGCAATGAATGCTGCCACAGGCGTCACCAAGACCGACGCGAGGATGGCCATCCACACTAGAGGGGCGAGGGGCAGTAGGAAGCACCACATGTCCACTCGTGCATTAGACCTACTCGCCAAGATCCTAAGGCTGAATGTCTGGAATGGGTATGTAAAACTCACCACCTCGGCGCGGCTAACACTCACTCCGAAAATGTGTGGGCTAAGATCCACCTCCTGAAGTAAGCATAATACATGGCAATAAATTAAAAGGCTCCCTGTCCCTCTTTGAAAATTGTCTGAAATGGTCAGGAGAAAAAATCAATAAATTATTAGGTTGACAGAAAGGTGAGCTAATCATGAATGAACGTTTGAGAGACACTTGGAATTTTATAAGTGTTATAGGCGAATGCTCAGAAAAAGCTGTACTGATTGGAAAACAAATGAAAAAGTACTAAGATTAGCAAAAATTCCAAGAAAATCCTTGAAATGAACAGAAAAAGAAAAATTATATAATTTGGTCATATAATTAGGCACGATGAAATAATAATATAACTATTAATGGTCAAAGATAGACGTAGGAGGGCCAGAGGAAGGCAGAGACTGGGTTGATGAATTAAATTAAAAACTGGGTCCCCAGGGATATACAAAACCTTTGAGGAATGGTAGAAACAGCTCGGGAAAGTTTAGAGTGGAGGACTGTTGTCCCCAACCCTCAGATATGAGGACTTTACTCCGATTGATTGATTGAATCCAGGTAGTTTATTTGGATATACTGATTTAAATGGATTCACCTTTCTTGCCACCATCCCCACCATCCCGGACCAGGTTCCATCTTCCCTCAGGGTTCCTAGGGACCTATCAGGAGGCGTCACGAACGTGTACCTAACAAACAAACAAACAAAAAAACATTAACATGCGCCTCACTCTCCTTGATGGCGTGTATAAATAAAGAACTAAATTAGTATTCAAGTTTTATGGATAACAATATAGATTTATTGTCGAAGAGTCTCTCATAAATTTCTAAAGTACAATGGTAAATTCATTTGTAATAAGGAAACACTTTGAACTATATAGGTTATGCGTGGAGAGGCTGTGCTAAACCAACATTGATTTTTTTATCCTTAATTAATTAATAATAATGTATTCTTGTTTCACCTGCATTATAGGGATTAGAAATGTAAATAAACATGGTTCAAGGTGAAGTGAACATTATTTTGTCTTACCTGGTGTACACAGTTCAGGAGAAACGCTTTCTGCTTTACAGGTATAAAGGAAAGGGATAATTTACCTAACACATTAATACAATGTTAGTGTCAACTAATTAGAACTTTTAATTTAAAGCTGCATAATTGGTAAAGTTAATCAAGTGAGGAGAACTAAATTCTTTATTACCGACCTATGAACTTTCTGTTGTAGAAATGATCCATCAGTATCAATTGTCTAACTCCAATAGGGTTCTTGTTACATTTATTAAAACAAATTATTTACCAGTTTTGTAGATATTTTTTTATGATTACTTCCTTAACCTCACAAAAAGTTTCCGATGAAAATTATTTCATAGGTTCTCCTGGGCTCATCCTTAGTCGAATTAACTGAGTGTTTACTATTAATTGTGTATCTTCATTCTAGATATACGTCTCATACTCACTACCCAAGTAAATATATGCTAAAAATTGTGAGCTTGTATAGTAATTTTACGTAATGAATACCTTTTTATCTATCAGTTTATCCACAGAGAATAATAATTCAACTTACGACATATTTAATGCAGTTGCGATGTGTTCCAGAATTGTAACATCAAGTCCGGTAAACCAAAGCCTCTTTCTTCCTGGAGCCTCTGGATCGTCCTTCGTCACCTGTCGGTTTAGTATACCTCCCACCATCACCAGTTTAAGTGTTGGTCTGCGAATAAATCTGGAAAAGATAGAAGGTTCATAAATCTATACTGTAGCATAACTGTTTTTTTTATTGCATCGGTGAAATGATTGTTTGGATTATTCTTGTAAAAATAAAATCAATCTTCTTTCCCAGTTCTATGCTTTTAGATTTTTCCACTCTAACTTGTCTTTCTCTATATGGCGCGCGGTGGGAGGGATGACGAATAATATCCGCGGAATTGTAATTAAAGTCTGTAAGTTAATTATGCACGTAGTTTTTCTTTGTTTATATGTAGATTTAAGTTACTGTAGTTTTGCCAGAAGCGTTAATTCACCCTAAATTATTTTGGAATATTATATATAAATATATATATATATATATATATTTTTTTTTACATTGCCTCAATTTACCAAACACAGCAAATTTACTTTAATATCAAGTTAATATCTATGTGTACAACCTTTATCAACCTGCTTTACTGCGTTGTCTTATATTATCCACCAGCATCGTTCAGCCATAATCTCCTCATCTTCTTTTCAAAACTTTTTCTCTGTTCATCCTCTCCCATGTACTTCCTCTATGCCAACGCAGTGTGATGATAAAATACCTTTTGTCATAGCACTTCTCACATCGCTCCTGAACCAAGAAGACCTCTCAACAAGACCTCCTGCTGGACCCGGAACTGTGAAGACCGCCCTCTCCCTTGTGCCAGTGTTGGCCATCTTCCCGGACCGGACCACCCACGACTGTCATCGTCCACAACAACTCACGAGCGTTCTCGGTTTATCGAGCATTAGCTTGCCCTCCCCACTGGTGGTGTGAGTGACCCACACTCCAGCTGGAGAGCAGTTATAGCGCGATATTCCCGGCGTGGTTTGAGCTCTTTTCCTTCTACTACTATTTTTCCTTTTTCGCTCTGGCCTAGGGACCTGCACCCTCAAAAGTGTATTCGTCCTGCGGTCCCCCCTGTAACTGTTCACCTCCCTCCCAGGAGATTGTGAACACGAAAGGGGGTTGGAGCAAAACCCATCCCAGCCGAGTCTTTCCAGGAAAACCGTGATCGTGCGGGTCCACCTGGAAAGAGGGTAGCAATCCTTATCCTTCCCAAATAGGCACACTTAGCTCACGTCTATAAGTGAGCAGTCACATACACTAGGAAGTAGGCTTCCCCAACGGGGCTCCGGGAGAGAAGCTCAGGAACCACTCTACGACCACCAGCCAGTGGGGAGTGCTGAAATTCCTCTGCTATTTACTCAACCGGAATAGGTAGGATCTAAAAAAAAAAAAAAAAAAAAAAAAAATAAATAAACCGGTTATGGAGCGCGTACGCCCTCCTAACCGCGACCCCCGCCTGAACCGCCAACCTGACGACCCGAACTACGACAGGCTTCGCACAGAGAAAGCAGACCAGTTACGCGCCTTCAATGAAGCCCTGAAAAGTAGGAACACTGCCACCACCTCCAACAACTCCACCACCACTGCTACCGCCACTGAGGACAACTGGACGAAGGTAGAAAACAAGAAACGCCGACGTGCTTTTTCGGGAAACGAATGCCGTCAAGCAGCCCCAAAGGCACCCATCACCACCACCAGCTCACCTCCAACGACACTGCCAAAATTCCGGATCACGAAAACGGACGCAAAAACAACATATGCCGCCGTCACAGAGATGGAAAAGCTAAATCCACTGGCCAAATTCTCAGTGCGGCCCAACCTAAAGGGGGAGATGATTATTCACCCCAAAGACAAGGACTCCGCCACCACCCTCGACACCTACCTGCAAAACACCACCACCGTTGCATCAACCAAGCTGGACCCCGCCCAGAAACTGATGAAGTCGGTAGTCCTCCGGTACCCAAAGGAACTACCTCTCGAACCCCTGGAGAACCACCCGAAGATCTTAAAAGCCGAGAGATGCTCTCCCCTGTCCGACAAGACGGCCACCACGAAACAAGTGCTCATAACGCACTACGGCTCACCCCCCAGCACCATAGACCTCAAAACCTGGGGGATCTACGAAGTGAGGCCCTTCGTCCCAGAGCCCCTGCGGTGCTTCAGATGCCAGAAATACGGGCACCATCAGACAAGGTGCACGTACAAGGAAATCTGCGCAGTCTGCGCACAGAAGCACGGCACACACTCCTGCCTCACCAAGTTGAAAAATGGGGAAAAAATTGCCCCCAAGTGTGCCAACTGCGGGGGCAAACACCACGCCTGGAATCCTGGATGCTCCGAGAGAACAAAGAGGGTCCAGGCAAACCGACCAGCAGCAAGACCGGCCCCCACCGCCTACACACCAGCCCCACCAAGTACCTTCGTGTGGGGAACCCAAAGGCCAAAACAACAAAGACAACCTCCTCAGCCAGTCAACACCCAAAGTGCAGCCCAGTTTCCTGGCCTCACTACGGCCACACCTCAGCCACCCAAGCAGCAGACAACGACAACCACGAGAAAGACAAAAGAAGCACACACCAAGGCACCAGAAGGAATGATACACGTATCAGACCTAGCCAAGGTACTGACAACCTTCGCGGAGGGCCTAGCCGGACTACTGGGCCACAAGATCCAACCCACACAGCTCCAAATACTCATGGGGAGCGTCCTCGGGCAAGTCGCCACAGCTCCAGCCAACTCAGTGGAGGAAGCCACGCCGGTCCTCACACGAGTGACAGCCGAGGTACACTCTACACCGAAGAAGGCCACCAGAGAACCCAAGATACCGACAGCTCCCAGAAAGAAACTGGACGCTTCAACTCCCCTGAACCGAACTACGGCCCAGAAGGCAAAAACCACAGAACACGAAGATATGAACCTGATCCAGTGGGAATCGAACTTGGACATCTCCATCGAGGACCACCAGAAGTCCCCGATGAAACAGTGGTGGAAAACATCAGCACCCTGAACATCCTAACATGGAATGCTCAGGGCATCAAAAACAAGAAACACCTCCTACAAGAAGCAGCAGCCAAGGACAAGCTTGACATCATACTGCTACAAGAAACACTTCTACAAGAACACCACTGTTTCAAATTCAGCGGTTACAAGACATACAGGAGGCATTTCACGCAGGCGTCAACAAGAGGATGTATGATCTTGGTCAAGTCAAGCATACCCTCCGCCGATGTCACGCAGCAATTTCCATGTGGGGAAAACATCGAGACACAGGCCGTCAAAGTAACCCTCCAAGAACGGGAATTAACTGTTCACAACATCTACAAGAACCCAAGGGGCTCACTGGAGGTTACTCAATTATTTGCTTCGGCCGCTGACCACGCCACACTCATAGGAGGGGATTTCAACGCACATCATCCCTTCCTAAGCTCGGCAAGCCCCACAAATGAAGACGGCCTACACCTATACACCACCTTTCAAGATACACCCGAGATCTGCCTCCTGAACACCGGAGAGCCCACCCACACTAGGGGAGGAAGGCTAGATCTAACCTTCGTCTCCAGTGCACTACAGCCTTCGGCCTCCTGGCAGATACACCCCACGCTGACCAGCGACCACTTCGCCACCCTAACAACGCTGAAGGTGAACAAACTCCCCACTCCACCCCCCCGAGATGGAGATACAATACCCAAAAGGCAGACTGGGGACTCTTTAAGAAACACCTGGCTAAGTGGCGCGAAAAATCACAGCCGGCCGGCGCAGCACCCGTGGATGAGACAACCCTCCACCACCAATTGGTCGAGGCGTTTCACCAAGCGGCAGAAGAGGCTATCCCAAAAACAAAACCCACATCAAGACAGTACAATGATTACTGGTACTACTGTCCCAGGGTGAAAGAACTCAACCACAGAGTGAACATGGCCCGAAGAAACTACAGGAGACATCCCACGGAAACAAACAGACATCTCCTGCAAGTCATAGATAAGGATACCAGGGAAGAGAAGGAAGAAATAAAAAACGTAAGCTGGCTCAAGTGGTGCTCCGAACTGAACGAGCACACCTCCCTTGGCAAGATGTGGGCCCAGATCCGAAGGGCATCTGGGAAGGCAACACCACCACCACCAACCCATCCCAACCCAGAAGAGGAAGCCGAGAGACTTGCAAAACTGTTCTCTGACCGAGCAGCAACGAAAAACCTCCCGAGACAGGCGGAGGAGACAACGGCGTCTGCGACAGGTCAGACTCCAGATGATCGAAGAGGCCTGCAACAGTGAAGATGACACTGACAGACCTTTCAACCAGCAAGATCTCCAGAAGTCGCTAAAACGAAGCAAGGACACAGCTCCAGGGGCCGACAGGATAACCTACTCCATGCTTTATCATGCCGGTACAGCCGGACACGAGGCTCTGCTGCAAGCCATCAATGCTTCGTGGACAGCACAAAGACTCCCACCGGAATGGAAGAAGGCAGATATACAGCCCATTCCGAAGCCCAGAGAACCAGACAAACCGAGGCCCATCTCCCTTCTCAGCTGCATAGCGAAGACGGGAGAAAGAATGGCTCTCAACCGACTCAAGTGGAAAGTAGGCAGCCCACACCCTCACATCTTTGCTTACACTGAGAACACCGGCACAGGCAACAACATCGCCGAGATACTCAGCACAGTGGACAACAAACCAGCTCTGGTGGTCTTCCTCGACCTGGAGAAAGCCTTCGAACTAGCAAATCCATTGGCCATTACAACTACGCTCGCTACAAAAGGCATCAAAGGAAGGTTGCTGGGGTGGATCCAGAACTACCTCACACAGAGAAGCACGAGTACGCTTTCAGGGAGCAACCTCAAGCTACAGGGTCCATGAAAACGGAACCCCACAAGGAGGCATCCTCAGTCCAATGCTGTTCAATGTCCTGATGGAAAATCTAGTCAAACTTCCTTTCAGACAAACAGCCAAGCTCCTATGCTATGCAGACGACTTACAGCTTATAGTAAGAGGATCGAACAGACTAGCCAACACGCAACACGCACTCCAACTTATAGAAGAGCAGTGCAACAGACTTGGACTCAAGATAAATCCAGCCAAGTCGAAAGCGATGGCTATCTGCACAGACACACCAGACAAGACGCTCTCCATACAAAACACGCCG